CCCAATAGCCAGCGATTTCGAATCAGCGGAAAGCTTGGTCTGTGGCCTTCCTTAAAAAAGTTAAAGCGAAATTGAAGCTATAATGAAGTTACAATTTACAAATTCAAAATTACCGTAGGTTTTTTAATAACTAATCGGAAAAATTTTCAGAGTGCGAAATAACTCCGAGCGAATTTGTTTTTTTTTTGTTTTGCATTTTTCCAAGCTTTTGAGAAGAGTTGATTCAGAAAGGTTAAGGGTAGACAACTTCCTAGATTTAAAATGTCCTTATGTTGGTTTAGCATTTTTTTATGAGAAGAATTTTTTTTCTTAATGTAAACAAAATTAGTAGATTTTATTAAGCAAAACTTTAATACTCTAAGAGCCAAAAAAAAAATTTTGCTCTTCAACTGTTTGGCAATTCTTTTGGTTAAATACAAATGGTATCGCAATATGTTTGCGATTTATTGGAAACTACTGTCAGCTGCTTAATAGCCCAGTCCGACAGAGCCCATTTAAGCGAAACGGTTGGAATTTTGGGTGGATCACCATCCTGGTGTTCCTACAGAGCCACCATCCGTCAAAGTGCAGTGGCTTGAGCACAATTTTTGAAGGGTGTCTTAAACTCTAACAAACTTTTTTAGAAGAATTTGTTCTTTTTGTACTTTATTTTATGCTATGGATAAGTGTATACATGATTTTCTGAACTTTTAAAAAATGGAAGGCACCGAAGCAACAGGTATGCCCAAATATGTTCTTTAAATTTATAATTATAATTCGTCATCATTGAACTCCTCTGTATTAACTGTAAATAAATAAAATCTCCTGCAACCTAAGGTTTTGCTGTTGTGCATCACCCAAATAATTGGTAAATTATTCATTTTATGCTCGCTGAATCCATTTCAACCTTTATTGCTTACATTTATTTATGGTGGATGTGCTTTGTCGGAATAGGAGCTTCACATTTGTCAAAAATCACAACTGTTTCCAATGGATGGACAGTATGGGAAGAGGCTATAAGTTCCCTAGGCAATCAAGAGTCGTATCTCAATGGGCGTATTCAGCAGAACAACAGTATCACTGGTCTGTGATGGATTTCTTACGATAGTTCTGCTGAACGCGTATGATCACTGATCATGATGCAAAAATTCTTCCATCTTATCTTGATACATGATACATGTCTGCTAGCGTATATCGTTGGTATAATAATTGATAAGAATAAACAGAAAAATCAAGGCGTTAACCAAACAAAAATAAAAAACAAACAAAAATTAATTGATTAATGCGTAAAGTATCATAAGCGTTCAGCAGAACAAACTTGATCACTGATGTTGCGGAACTGCATCTTTCCCGGAGGGCAGCGCCGGCTAGCCACGGAGTCCCAGGGCGAAGTACCCCCTATGCCCTGCAGTCTCACGTCACTAACTTGACGATTTACCATCTCTACCACAAATCAAATCAAAACAAAACAAAGTTACATTTACATCAAAAAACTAAGACAATTGGACGAAATTGGTGGCTTCGATGTCCTTGCCACAATGCACCCACCCAACCTTGGGTGCCCCAAGAAAGATGTGGGAGGCACACCCCATCTCCGGCAGACCGGAGTCTATTCCTGGTGGATTACGACCGGCTCATCTCCCCGCCCAAGGTAATTCACACAACCATCTCGGTAGCTTGTTCACATTTAATTTTGGGCAAGATTAATAAATAAACACATTCATTATTGATTCCTACTAATAATCTACTCTTTTCGTTAGAAACACTTAAGGCCGATCTCAGACCGTCGCCCAGATGACAAGCGGTCAAAGCGGCAACAACCGAAGGGAAATTTTTTAGACGCTTAATATTACAATTTTCAGGCAAAATCGCCGCACGGCACTAAATTGGAGGCGTTTGCCAACCGGGTCGCCTAATCCTGAGGAGCTCCAAGGGAAAAGAAGGGACGTGCTGAAAAGGTAAGTACGCTAAATGAATCCCACCAGTCATTAAATTTCGCGACCCAATTAAGACGTAGTTTGACGCGCGGCTACGGTTCGGAATTAAGACTCTAATTTTAGATTAGATTTCACAGTGAGTACTTGACAATCTTGACTGTATGATATCACAAAATAATAACTAAAACTTATTTATTGCAGAGTTCAACGTCGGATGTGGTTGAAACTGCAGCCAGAATAGAAAAATCACTAGCGGCGAAAACCAGCACGAGTTCGCACGGAGCCCATTGGTCCGGAGGATAGCGCAGCGTCTGCGTAAGAGGGGCCGGGTCAGTGCGTTCCCGGAACGGGCTTACCGAGGGAATCTCCGTATGTGACCGTCTCGGAGGCAGTCGCTGGAGCTGCTGACGCCTGAGGCTGCTGCTGCTGCTGAACGCTGCTGCTGCTGCGACTGATGCTGCTGACAGCTGCTTCTGCTGTGGCTAATGCTGCTGCGGAAGCTGATCGCTGTTGCTGCTGCGTCTAATGCTGCTGCTGCGGTTAATGCTGCTGTTGAACCAGGATCGCTGCTGCTGCTGCGGCTGATGCTGGACGGCGTGGTCCTCACGACCAGGTTAGGTTCGCCAGGTGAGTGTTCCCAAATCTTCTAAATTTCCGGGGCCCTTTAGATAGGGTCCCCGGCGGCTTCAATATCAAAAAAAAAAACACTGTAATTTACAAGTTCCGGACTAATAAATAACCACTCACTTTGAGTTATCCAAACACTTATTACGAATTAAAAGTCTTAGGCTTTTTCCCGACCGTTCTCATACTACTTCTTGCAGCAACTAAAGCAAAACCCTGACCTACACCAAAGTCGCTCGCCATTTTCCCTCCCGCTCTCTCAAGATGGGTCAGCGAACGTATTCAAGGCTATTGAACCCATTTAACCAGCGAACCGGGCTAAATTTAAATAGCTAGATCCTTTCCCGCTATCAATAGTCGGTGTCACCACCGAATCTTATCGATAGCGGGACCTGCTGACGTATCGGTACGTTTTAGTATTTTCCAGACGGCTTCAACTGAAAATGCAACACCGCCCTGGATTCCGAGAGACGCTAACACAGAGTTTTAGACAAGCGCAGGAATACTTGGGAGCATTTGGATTTGGACTATTCGGATTCAGCCGGCCTCGATACCAAGATGCAGTTCCAACGGTGTCCAACGCGGGGCCCACGCTTTACGAGAAGTAGACACATGCCGATTCTGAGCTCGTGTACTTTGTTATTCCTCTTTCCAGATCACAACCTAATGTCCTTGGCATGGTACACTCCGATCGGTCGTCCTTGAAGATCTTCAAGCTCGTACGCATTATTGCCGACTGTCCTGACCACCCGAGCTTTTAGGAACTTCCGAGCAAACTTTGCATTGAAGGCCCTTTTGAAATCGCTGGGGGCAAAGTTGCGGCGATACACTTCCTGACCGGGCTTCAAAGGAAAGTACGAGCCCTTTTGTCGTACCGCAGGCGACTCCGATCGTATGCATCTTCGAGGTTCTTCTGCACCTTGTCATGGATCACTTGGAGTTTATCAGCTGTTCTCATCCCAGACATTTCGTGATCACACAGCGACTTCAACTTCCTTGCCAACTTGTAGCTGGCTCCGTTCAGGAACATGTGTCGTCCGAATACGGTGAAGAACCGAGCTTCTCCAGTTGCTGAATGGACCGCGTTGCGGAGGGCCACCTCAATCTCCGGAAGAAAGGCGTCCCATTCTCGATGGTCTTCTTCTAAGTAGCTTCGGATCGCCGCCAACACGCTTTGGTTTACCCTTTCCGCTGCGTTGCTTTGCGGAGAGTGGACTGGCGTTTTGATGTGCGTGATGCCAAAGCTTTCCATCGCCTCCTCGAAGATCTTGGACGTAAACTGGCGGCCGTTGTTCGAATGCACAACTTCTGTAACCCAAACTTGTAGAAAGCCTCGTGAATGAGGAACTCCACTACATTTGAGGTCGATGCCTTTTGCATGGCTTTCAAAAATGTGTATTTGGAGAAGTGATCCACCACAATGAAGATGTAGGCCTGTCCCTTCTTCGACCTCGGATACTTCCCCAGGAAATCGATGTACAGCTTCTGAAATGGCTGCTCAGTCTGGACTCTCTCACCGATACCCACTTGCATCCGGAAATTCGGGGATTTCGTCTCCTTGCACACTTCACACCTGCGTATGGACTCCCGGACTTGCAGTGCCATGCCAGGCCAGTCAAACTGCCGCCGTAGGTTTTCCAGAGTTTTTCCCATTCCGCACGAATCCGAATCTGCACGCTTAATTATGCTGTGGGTCAGACTCTGGGGAATCCACAACTTCCATTCGAAGCCTTCCACCTCGTCATCCAGATTTGCCGAAGAGACTCTCTTGAAGATGAGATCATCCACTATCCTCAAGTCAGGTAGGTTGGCCACGTTTTTTTCCACTTCTTGTAACAACTCCGTGTATTCTTCTCCATCAACTCAGTGGTCTCGAAGCCGAGCAACTCTGACGGGTCCACCGTTAGCTCTTCAGCACAACGCGAAAGGGTATCTGCCACGACGTTCTCGCTTCCTTTCCTGTGTTCGATGTTGAAGTCATATCCCTGGAGTTGCAATGACCACCGAGCCAGCCGACCCGAAAGGTCTTTCATGGACATGAGCCACTTCAAGCTGGCATGATCCGTGATGCACGTAAACGGCATTCCTTCCACATACGGCCGGAACTTTCGAATGGCTAGCAGGGCTGCGAGGCATTCTTTTTCGGTGACGGTGTAATGGACTTGGTGACAATTCATCTTGGCCGAGAAGAACGCTATTGGTTGCTCCTGGCCGTCTTCATCCCGCTGGAACAACACTGCACCGACTCCGATCGCATCGCACTGGATGAAAAAGTGCCGCTTAAAGTCCGCATGTACCAGCACTGGCGCAGTAGTTCGGGCCATCTTCAAGGACTCTACTGCCAGCTGTGCTTCTGGACTCAAGGAAAACTTCTTATTTCCCGTCTTCTTCAAGGATTGCGTGAGCGGGGCTGCCAACGGCGCGAAGATCTTTATGAACCGACGGTACCAACTAAGGCTCTCACTTCCTTCATGGTCCTTGGCTCAGGCATCCGCCTAATAGCTGCTACACGCCCTGGATCCATCCGCAGACGTCCTCCACCCACTATGAAGCCGAGGTAGGTCAAAGACTTGAAGCAAAACTTCGACTTGCTCAGACCAATGGTTAACCCTGCTTCTTTCAGGCATTCAGCGACTCGGCGAAGATACTTCAAGTGCGTTCTCATGTCAGGCGCTAGTATAGCAGGTTATCCAAGTAGACGAACACATTCGAGCGGATTTCAGCTGGAATTACTCGGTCCATGAGTCTCACCAGCGTTACAGAGTCCGAAAGGCATCACACGGAACTGGTAAAGAGGCCGACCAGGAACCGTAAAGGCTGTGTATTCCTTGCTGCCCGTGTCCAACTCAATCTGCCATAAAGCGAACTTCAAATCCACGCTGGAAATGTAGTACGTTTGGTCAATTCTGGACAGAATGCCGTCTATGCTGGGCAACGGGTAAGCATCTTTGATGGTTACATCATTAAGCTTAAGTGCGTCTAAGCAGAACCGGTGTTTTCCAGATCTTGATACTACGGTGGTGCGGTTGCTCCAGGGGCTTTTGCTCTCCTCGATGACTCCGAGCGCTAGCATCTTGTCGACCTCGTCCTCGACCACCTTCTGCTTCGCGGGAGACATCGGATAGGGTCGATCCTTGAACACATTGGCTCCGTCCATCAGCTCAATAGTGTGCTTCTCCAGACTGGTGGTACCTAAGCCATCCCGCTCGAAAGTCAAGAACTGCTGCTTGATCTCCTCCAGCTCTTGTTCCTCGGCCTTGGAAAGCGTCCAGGACTCGGGATCGGTTTTCTCCTCATCGTCATCCTCGACCTCAGCGTAGTGATCCATCTCCCTGGCGTGTAATTCTTCGGCCTTCTTCACGCCTTCCGGATCGATGGGGCCTATAATCGCTGGGGCCAGTCCGAATGCTTGCCAAAAATCCACTCCAAAATAAGCTGGCTGCTCCAGGTAAGGACACAAGTAGAAGAGAATGTGCTCTGTCCGTCCTCGGTATTCCACCGGTAACTTGACCCGTCCTATAATTGACCGATCCTCTCCAGAGGCCGTACGGACTGCGGATAAGTACTTCTGGACGGGCACATCCAAGGCCTCGACCAGCTCTCTGCCACCTTTTCCAAGCAGACTCACACTCGCTCCAGTGTCCAACAACCCCGTCAGTTGCTTGGTCAGGACTCGGACTGCGGCGAACGGTCTGGGATCTCGCGATAAACTGCGCTTCACGGCGGCCACTGCTTCGCGTCGGCAGTTCCGACGTTTGCGAAATCGGTCCCTGGCCTTTTGCACCTTGCGAGACACCATACGCATCCCGCCTAACTGGTGCTCTGAGAAGATCCTGTTCCTGATATCTAGGTACCGTCGCATCCTCTCCGCATAAGGTAAGTATTGTAAATTAGACTTATTGCTATTCTTAGAAGGTAAACATTTATTTAACTCTACCAACTCTTCTTCTCTGCGGAACTCCTGTCTGGACGCAGCCTCTCCGTCCTCGGATCGCCCAGCCGACCGTTTTCCGCACAATCCGGACATTTGGGAGACACGGTGTCGGGCTTCCCACATCGGTAGCAGAACAGTCTGCGTTCTGTTGCTGCGCAGTCACGGAACCCGTGATCCACGGCTCCGCAATTCCAGCAGCCGGCTCGGCACGGATTCTTCGCCCGCACTTCGTCCACCTCGTGCCACGGAGGATCCTCACCAGGATCTGGGCCAATAGCCTCGCTAACCTTGGCCTTCTCCGCCGGAGGATACCGCATCGGCTGTGTGTACGTGGTCCGTCCACGTCGTCCAAAACTGCGTTCCACCTCGCAGCACTCTTCCCGCAGTTCATCCACCGTAAGCACATCCATCGCGTAGACAAACCTTGCGATGCTCTCCCTCAAGCCCTTTTTGATTATCTTAACCAACTGTCGCTCTGACAGTGGCCTTTTCAGACGGGCCGCTAACTGCTGCATCGCGTGGACGAAATCGTCAACTCCTTCTCCGAGCTGCTGCTCCCTCTGCAGAAGTTGGTGCATCCGGTCGTGCTCCGTCTGGTGGCATCGGAACCTATCCATCAGCGAGGCTCGAAGCTGGGACCACCTGTCCACCCTGCAGTGACGCACGTGCACCCAGTCCCACTCCCGAGCCCGCCCAGTAAGCAGCAGGTGGATGTTTCGGAGCACCTCTTGCCACGGGCATTGGCACTGCCGCTGCAGGAAATCCAACCTGAAGAGAAAATCTTCCACCGAGTTTCGCTCATCCTCCCTGTCGAAGGATACGCCCCACCGCTCAATTCGCCATTGCTGGTTGGCGGCTGCCGGCCCCACATTGACATACAGGAGCTGCTCCTCGCGGAACTCTGAGGCCCTGCGGTCCTCAACGCACCAGCCGGGCCGGGCCATCGTCTCGGCGCGACCTTCCATGATCCGGAGGATACCCGGGACTGCTACTTTCCAACTCCTGGAAATCTAGCGGCCTCCTCGGCGGTTTGTGTGGCACCCTCGGCGGAGGTAGCCTGGAACCGCCCATGCCGGCGACCTGTGTGCTCTTGGGCACCGCACCTTGCGGGGCTTGACCACGGATTCCTGCGGTGATCCTTGAATCCGGACGCCTTCGCTCATCCGGCATGCTCTCCAGGGGAAACTGAGCTTCATCATTTCCAGGAAGCCACTTCGGATCTCGTCCCTCAGTTCCTGATTGATCCCGCCTTCTTGGGCCTTCCGATGGGTCTCCGCCGCCTGCGCCAAAGCCACATTAACGGCCGACCTTGCCGCGGAATCCATAAAAGGATCGTGGAGTCTTGCGTCCTTATCGTCCAGCTGCAACAACTCATCCGCCGCGGAACCAATTCCCTCCAGGATCTGCTGCTGCCTTAGGTCCTGCTGCAGCTCGGTGTCCTGTGGTTCTTTTTGCTCTTGTTGCAATCCCTGGCGCAAGCGGGCAAGCGGAGTTCTGGGCAACCCTTCCGATATGCGCGGCAAACCAGCCTCGGTAGCGCCCTCCACATCCGTGAACCACATCTTTTCGTCGTCCTCGCCTGGAAAACCCTTCGACCGAAGCAGGTGATCATGCTTGCTGCCTTGTCCATCCTGAATTTTGGTAACCCCTAACACGACTTCTGAAACCCCGAATTCAATGTATAAATAAATAAATTATGCTGAATGCTAGTGAATAATAATAAATAAATACCACTAAATAATATGCACCTAAATAATACGAATACTTATATTACCAGGCCAATAAATAATAATAATAAATAAATAGAAACAATAAACAATGAATAAATAAGAAATAAATAAGAAAATATATTAACGACCAACAAATACCTTTGGCTTAACAAATTCACACCAATAATTAGCTCCTATAAAAAAACAAGTCCCTCAAGACTAAATTTCTTTCTCTATTTTTTTACAGCCTCAATAAGGGGAGATGGAGCCGATCACCAGCCGGTAGACTCCGCGCCAGTCGTCTTGCGTTTACAATTTCGTCCGAATTCTCACTAAACAAGCCGCTCGTCAACTGGACTAACTTTCAGCTGTGCTGAAAGTCGCCAGTTAAAGACTTCGGCTGTTTGCAGGATCGCATTGGATTTCCTTTTGGACTTTGCGTTTTTCATTCAAGTCGCGGTGGCCCAGCAGCGCGTGACGACGTCACGGGTCACGACCACACGTTTAAGTTTTAAACCGATATGATATGAAAACGCAAATACCAAAAAACCCAAGGATCTGCACAAATAAAACAACTACACTGTAACCCCAAAACAAAACAGTCATTAAAATTACGTTAGCAAAAAAAAATGTCCCTAATACCTATATCACAGTTTTATCACAGTTTTTGGTTTAACCTTTCGTGCTTATTGCACGGACGACCTGGGATGCGAATCCTTCGATTTTCTTCGAAGAGGATGTCACCGCCAAATCACAGCTAATCCCTGTGAACTGTGCCTCAAGAGCAATTGTCCTACCTCTAGTAGACACGCCTCCCTTTCTTCCTACAAAATTTAAACAACTTTTCTCTACCAGTGCGCATCCACGGTGCAATTGCATGTGTGTCATGCAAGCCACCGTTCGAGGGCTGGCTGGAGATATAAATATGCGAGACGCAAGGGTATCTGCCACGACGTTCTCGCTTCCTTTCCTGTGTTCGATGTTGAAGTCATATCCCTGGAGTTGCAATGACCACCGAGCCAGCCGACCCGAAAGGTCTTTCATGGACATGAGCCACTTCAAGCTGGCATGATCCGTGATGCACGTTAACGGCATTCCTTCCACATACGGCCGGAACTTTCGAATGGCTAGCAGGGCTGCGAGGCATTCTTTTTCGGTGACGGTGTAATGGACTTGGTGACCATTCATCTTGGCCGAGAAGAACGCTATTGGTTGCTCCTGGCCGTCTTCATCCCGCTGGAACAACACTGCACCGACTCCGATCGCATCGCACTGGATGAAAAAGTGCCGCTTAAAGTCCGCATGTACCAGCACTGGCGCAGTAGTTCGGGCCATCTTCAAGGACTCTACTGCCAGCTGTGCTTCTGGACTCAAGGAAAACTTCTTATTTCCCGTCTTCTTCAAGGATTGCGTGAGCGGGGCTGCCAACGGCGCGAAGTTCTTTATGAACCGACGGTACCAACTAAGGCTCTCACTTCCTTCATGGTCCTTGGCTCAGGCATCCGCCTAATAGCTGCTACACGCCCTGGATCCATCCGCAGACGTCCTCCAACCACTATGAAGCCGAGGTAGGTCAAAGACTTGAAGCAAAACTTCGACTTGCTCAGACCAATGGTTAACCCTGCTTCTTTCAGGCATTCAGCGACTCGGCGAAGATACTTCAAGTGCGTTCTCATGTCAGGCGCTAGTATTAGCAGGTCATCCAAGTAGACGAACACATTCGAGCGGATTTCAGCTGGAATTACTCGGTCCATGAGTCTCACCAGCGTTACAGAGTCCGAAAGGCATCACACGGAACTGGTAAAGAGGCCGACCAGGAACCGTAAAGGCTGTGTATTCCTTGCTGCCCGTGTCCAACTCAATTCTGGACAGAATGCCGTCTATGCTGTGCAACGGGTAAGCATCTTTGATGGTTACATCATTAAGCTTAAGTGCGTCTAAGCAGAACCGGTGTTTTCCAGATCTTGATACTACGGTGGTGCGGTTGCTCCAGGGGCTTTTGCTCTCCTCGATGACTCCGAGCGCTAGCATCTTGTCGACCTCGTCCTCGACCACCTTCTGCTTCGCGGGAGACATCGGATAGGGTCGATCCTTGAACACATCATCCATCAGCTCAATAGTGTGCTTCTCCAGACTGGTGGTACCTAAGCCATCCCTCTCGAAAGTCAAGAACTGCTGCTTGATCTCCTCCAGCTCTCGTGCCTCGGCCTTGGAAAGCGTCCAGGACTCGGGATCGGTTTTCTCCTCATCGTCATCCTCGACCTCAGCGTAGTGCTCCATCTCCCTGGCGTGTAATTCTTCGGCCTTCTTCACGCCTTCCGGATCGATGGGGCCTATAATCGCTGGGGCCAGTCCGAATGCTTGCCAAAAATCCACTCCAAAATAAGCTGGCTGCTCCAGGTAAGGACACAAGTAGAAGAGAATGTGCTCTGTCCGTCCTCGGTATTCCACCGGTAACTTGACCCGTCCTATAATTGACCGATCCTCTCCAGAGGCCGTACGGACTGCGGATAAGTACTTCTGGACGGGCACATCCAAGGCCTCGACCAGCTCTCTGCCACCTTTTTCAAGCAGACTCACACTCGCTCCAGTGTCCAACAACCCCGTCAGTTGCTTGGTCAGGACTCGGACTGCGGCGAACGGTCTGGGATCTCGCGATAAACTGCGTTTCACGGCAGCCACTGCTTCGCGTCGGCAGTTCCGACGTTTGCGAAATCGGTCCCTGGCCTTTTGCACCTTGCGAGACACCATACGCATCCCGCCTAACTGGTGCTCTGAGAAGATCCTGTTCCTGATATCTAGGTACCGTCGCATCCTCTCCGCATAAGGTAAGTATTGTAAATTAGACTTATTGCTATTCTTAGAAGGTAAACATTTAGTTAAATAAATGTCTACCAACTCTTCTTCTCTGCGGAACTCCTGTCTGGACGCATCCTCTCCGTCCTCGGATCGCCCAGCCGACCGTTTTCCGCACAATCCGGACATTTAGGAGACACGGTGTCGGGCTTCCCACATCGGTAGCAGAACAGTCTGCGTTCTGTTGCTGCGCAGTCACGGAACCCGTGATCCACGGCTCCGCAATTCCAGCAGCCGGCTCGGCACGGATTCTTCGCCCGCACTTCGTCCACCTCGTGCCACGGAGGATCCTCACCAGGATCTGGGCCAATAGCCTCGCTAACCTTGGCCTTCTCCGCCGGAGGATACCGCATCGGCTGCGTGTACGTGGTCCGTCCACGTCGTCCAAAACTGCGTTCTACCTCGCAGCACTCTTCCCGCAGTTCATCCACCGTAAGCACATCCATCGCGTAGACAAACCTTGCGATGCTCTCCCTCAAGCCCTTTTTGATTATCTTAACCAACTGTCGCTCTGACAGTGGCCTTTTCAGACGGGCCGCTAACTGCTTCATCGCGTGGACGTAATCGTCAACTCCTTCTCCGAGCTGCTGCTCCCTCTGCAGAAGTTGGTGCATCCGGTCGTGCTCCGTCTGGTGGCATCGGAACCTATCCATCAGCGAGGCTCGAAGCTGGGACCACCTGTCCACCCTGCAGTGACGCACGTGCACCCAGTACCACTCCCGAGCCCGCCCAGTAAGCAGCAGGTGGAAGTTTCGGAGCACCTCTTGCCACGGGCATTGGCACTGCCGCTGCAGGAACTCCAACCTGAAGAGAAAATCTTCCACCGAGTTTCGCTCATCCTCCCTGTCGAAGGATACGCCCTACCGCTCAATTCGCCATTGCTGGTTGGCGGCTGCCGGCCCCACATTGACATACAGGAGCTGCTCCTCGCGGAACCCTGAGGCCCTGCGGTCCTCAACGCACCAGCCGGGCCGGGCCATCGTCTCGGCGCGACCTTCCATGATCCGGAGGATACCCGGGACTGCTACTTTCCAACTCCTGGAAATCTAGCGGCCTCCTCGGCGGTTTGTGTGGCACCCTCGGCGGAGGTAGCCTGGAACCGTCCATGCCGGCGACCTGTGTGCTCTTGGGCACCGCACCTTGCGGGGCTTGACCACGGATTCCTGCGGTGATCCTTGAATCCGGACGCCTTCGCTCATCCGGCATGCTCTCCAGGGGAAACTGAGCTTCATCATTTCCAGGAAGCCACTTCGGATCTCGTCCCTCAGTTCCTGATTGATCCCGCCTTCTTGGGCCTTCCGATGGGTCTCCGCCGCCTGCGCCAAAGCCACATTAACGGCCGACCTTGCCGCGGAATCCATAAAAGGATCGTGGAGTCTTGCGTCCTTATCGTCCAGCTGCAACAACTCATCCGCCGCGGAACCAATTCCCTCCAGGATCTGCTGCTGCCTTAGGTCCTGCTGCAGCTCGGTGTCCTGTGGTTCTTTTTGCTCTTGTTGCAGTCCCTGGCGCAAGCGGGCAAGCGGAGTTCTGGGCAACCCTTCCGATATGCGCGGCAAACCAGCCTCGGTAGCGCCCTCCACATCCGTGAACCACATCTTTTCGTCGTCCTCGCCTGGAAAACCCTTCGACCGAAGCAGGTGATCATGCTTGCTGCCTTGTCCATCCTGAATTTTGGTAACCCCTAACACGACTTCTGAAACCCCGAATTCAATGTGCCAACCAAAAACCCAAATTATGTATAAATAAATAAATTATGCTGAATGCTAGTGAATAATAATAAATAAATACCACTAAATAATATGCACCTAAATAATACGAATACTTATATTACCAGGCCAATAAATAATAATAATAAATAAATAGAAACAATAAACAATGAATAAATAAGAAATAAATAAGAAAATATATTAACGACCAACAAATACCTTAGGCTTAACAAATTCACACCAATAATTAGCTCCTATAAAAAAACAAGTCCCTCAAGACTAAATTTCTTTCTCTATTTTTTTCCAGCCTCAATAAGGGGAGATGGAGCCGATCACCAGCCGGTAGACTCCGCGCCAGTCGTCTTGCGTTTACAATTTCGTCCGAATTCTCACTAAACAAGCCGCTCGTCAACTGGACTAACTTTCAGCTGTGCTGAAAGTCGCCAGTTAAGGACTTCGGCTGTTTGCAGGATCGCATAGGATTTCCTTTTGGACTTTGCGTTTTTCATTCAAGTCGCGGTGGCCCAGCAGCGCGTGACGACGTCACGGGTCACGACCACACGTTTAAGTTTTAAACCGATATGATATGAAAACGCAAATACCAAGAAAAACCCAAGGATCTGCACAAATAAAACAACTACACTGTAACCCCAAAACAAAACATTCATTAAAATTACGTTAACAAAAAAAAATGTCCCTAATACCTATATCACAGTTTTATCACAGTTTTTGGTTTAACCTTTCGTGCTTATTGCACGGACGACCTGGGATGCGAATGCTTCGTTTTCCTTCGAAGAGGATGTCACCGCCAAATCACAGCTAATCCCTGTGAACTGTGCCTCAAGAGCAATTGTCCTAGCTCTAGTGGACACGCCTCCCTTTCTTCCTACAAAATTTAAACAACTTTTCTCTACCAGTGCGCATCCACGGTGCAATTGCATGTGTGTCATGCAAGCCACCGTTCGAGGGCTGGCTGGAGATATAAATATGCGAGACGCAAGGGTATCTGCCACGACGTTCTCGCTTCCTTTCCTGTGTTCGATGTTGAAGTCATATCCCTGGAGTTGCAATGACCACCGAGCCAGCCGACCCGAAAGGTCTTTCATGGACATGAGCCACTTCAAGCTGGCATGATCCGTGATGCACGTAAACGGCATTCCTTCCACATACGGCCGGAACTTTCGAATGGCTAGCAGGGCTGCGAGGCATTCTTTTTCGGTGACGGTGTAATGGACTTGGTGACAATTCATCTTGGCCGAGAAGAACGCTATTGGTTGCTCCTGGCCGTCTTCATCCCGCTGGAACAACACTGCACCGACTCCGATCGCATCGCACTGGATGAAAAAGTGCCGCTTAAAGTCCGCATGTACCAGCACTGGCGCAGTAGTTCGGGCCATCTTCAAGGACTCTACTGCCAGCTGTGCTTCTGGACTCAAGGAAAACTTCTTATTTCCCGTCTTCTTCAAGGATTGCGTGAGCGGGGCTGCCAACGGCGCGAAGTTCTTTATGAACCGACGGTACCAACTAAGGCTCTCACTTCCTTCATGGTCCTTGGCTCAGGCATCCGCCTAATAGCTGCTACACGCCCTGGATCCATCCGCAGACGTCCTCCACCCACTATGAAGCCGAGGTAGGTCAAAGACTTGAAGCAAAACTTCGACTTGCTCAGACCAATGGTTAACCCTGCTTCTTTCAGGCATTCAGCGACTCGGCGAAGATACTTCAAGTGCGTTCTCATGTCAGGCGCTAGTATTAGCAGGTCATCCAAGTAGACGAACACATTCGAGCGGATTTCAGCTGGAATTACTCGGTCCATGAGTCTCACCAGCGTTACAGAGTCCGAAAGGCATCACACGGAACTGGTAAAGAGGCCGACCAGGAACCGTAAAGGCTGTGTATTCCTTGCTGCCCGTGTCCAACTCAATCTGCCATAAAGCGAACTTCAAATCCACGCTGGAAATGTAGTACGTTTGGTCAATTCTGGACAGAATGCCGTCTATGCTGGGCAACGGGTAAGCATCTTTGATGGTTACATCATTAGGCTTAAGTGCGTCTAACCAGAACCGGTGTTTTCCAGATCTTGATACTACGGTGGTGCGGTTGCTCCAGGGGCTTTTGCTCTCCTCGATGACTCCGAGCGCCAGCATCTTGTCGACCTCGTCCTCGATCACCTTCTGCTTCGCGGGAGACATCGGATAGGGTCGATCCTTGAACACATTGGCTCCGTCCATCAGCTCAATAGTATGCTTCTCCAGACTGGTGGTACCTAAGCCATCCCGCTCGAAAGTCAAGAACTGCTGCTTGATCTCCTCCAGCTCTTGTTCCTCGGCCTTGGAAAGCGTCCAGGACTCGGGATCGGTTTTCTCCTCATCGTCATCCTCGACCTCAGCGTAGTGCTCCATCTCCCTGGCGTGTAATTCTTCGGCCTTCTTCACGCCTTCCGGATCGATGGGGCCTATAATCGCTGGGGCCAGTCCGAATGCTTGCCAAAAATCCACTCCAAAATAAGCTGGCTGCTCCAGGTAAGGACACAAGTAGAAGAGAATGTGCTCTGTCCGTCCTCGGTATTCCACCGGTAACTTGACCCGTCCTATAATTGACCGATCCTCTCCAGAGGCCGTACGGACTGCGGATAAGTACTTCTGGACGGGCACATCCAAGGCCTCGACCAGCTCTCTGCCACCTTTTCCAAGCAGACTCACACTCGCTCCAGTGTCCAACAACCCCGTCAGTTGCTTGGTCAGGACTCGGACTGCGGCGAACGGTCTGGGATCTCGCGATAAACTGCGCTTCACGGCGGCCACTGCTTCGCGTCGGCAGTTCCGACGTTTGCGAAATCGGTCCCTGGCCTTTTGCACCTTGCGAGACACCATACGCATCCCGCCTAACTGGTGCTCTGAGAAGATCCTGTTCCTGATATCTAGGTACCGTCGCATCCTCTCCGCATAAGGTAAGTATTATAAATTAGACTTATTGCTATTCTTAGAAGGTAAACATTTATTTAACTCTACCAACTCTTCTTCTCTGCGGAACTCCTGTCTGGACGCAGCCTCTCCGTCCTCGGATCGCCCAGCCGACCGTTTTCCGCACAATCCGGACATTTGGGAGACACGGTGTCGGGCTTCCCACATCGGTAGCAGAACAGTCTGCGTTCTGTTGCTGCGCAGTCACGGAACCCGTGATCCACGGCTCCGCAATTCCAGCAGCCGGCTCGGCACGGATTCTTCGCCCGCACTTCGTCCACCTCGTGCCACGGAGGATCCTCACCAGGATCTGGGCCAATAGTCTCGCTAACCTTGGCCTTCTCCGCCGGAGGATACCGCATCGGCTGTGTGTACGTGGTCCGTCCACGTCGTCCAAAACTGCGTTCCACCTCGCAGCACTCTTCCCGCAGTTCATCCACCGTAAGCACATCCATCGCGTAGACAAACCTTGCGATGCTCTCCCTCAAGCCCTTTTTGATTATCTTAACCAACTGTCGCTCTGACAGTGGCCTTTTCAGACGGGCCGCTAACTGCTGCATCGCGTGGACGAAATCGTCAACTCCTTCTCCGAGCTGCTGCTCCCTCTGCAGAAGTTGGTGCATCCGGTCGTGCTCCGTCTGGTGGCATCGGAACCTATCCATCAGCGAGGCTCGAAGCTGGGACCACCTGTCCACCCTGCAGTGACGCACGTGCACCCAGTCCCACTCCCGAGCCCGCCCAGTAAGCAGCAGGTGGAAGTTTCGGAGCACCTCTTGCCACGGGCATTGGCACTGCCGCTGCAGGAAATCCAACCTGAAGAGAAAATCTTCCACCGAGTTTCGCTCATCCTCCCTGTCGAAGGATACGCCCCACCGCTCAATTCGCCATTGCTGGTTGGCGGCTGCCGGCCCCACATTGACATACAGGAGCTGCTCCTCGCGGAACTCTGAGGCCCTGCGGTCCTCAACGCACCAGCCGGGCCGGGCCATCGTCTCGGCGCGACCTTCCATGATCCGGAGGATACCCGGGACTGCTACTTTCCAACTCCTGGAAATCTAGCGGCCTCCTCGGCGGTTTGTGTGGCACCCTCGGCGGAGGTAGCCTGGAACCGCCCATGCCGGCGACCTGTGTGCTCTTGGGCACCGCACCTTGCGGTGATCCTTGAATCCGGACGCCTTCGCTCATCCGGCATGCTCTCCAGGGGAAACTGAGCTTCATCATTTCCAGGAAGCCACTTCGGATCTCGTCCCTCAGTTCCTGATTGATCCCGCCTTCTTGGGCCTTCCGATGGGTCTCCGCCGCCTGCGCCATAGCCACATTAACGGCCGACCTTGCCGCGGAATCCATAAAAGGATCGTGGAGTCTTGCGTCCTTATCGTCCAGCTGCAACAACTCATCCGCCGCGGAACCAATTCCCTCCAGGATCTGCTGCTGCCTTAGGTCCTGCTGCAGCTCGGTGTCCTGTGGTTCTTTTTGCTCTTGTTGCAATCCCTGGCGCAAGCGGGCAAGCGGAGTTCTGGGCAACCCTTCCGATATGCGCGGCAAACCAGCCTCGGTAGCGCCCTCCACATCCGTGAACCACATCTTTTCGTCGTCCTCGCCTGGAAAACCCTTCGACCGAAGCAGGTGATCATGCTTGCTGCCTTGTCCATCCTGAATTTTGGTAACCCCTAACACGACTTCTGAAACCCCGAATTCAATGTGCCAACCAAAAACCCAAATTATGTATAAATAAATAAATTATGCTGAATGCTAGTGAATAATAATAAATAAATACCACTAAATAATATGCACCTAAATAATACGAATACTTATATTACCAGGCCAATAAATAATAATAATAAATAAATAGAAACAATAAACAATGAATAAATAAGAAATAAATAAGAAAATATATTAACGACCAACAAATACCTTAGGCTAAACAAATTCACACCAATAATTAGCTCCTATAAAAAAACAAGTCCCTCAAGACTAAATTTCTTTCTCTATTTTTTTCCAGCCTCAATAAGGGGAGATGGAGCCGATCACCAGCCGGTAGACTCCGCGCCAGTCGTCTTGCGTTTACAATTTCGTCCGAATTCTCACTAAACAAGCCGCTCGTCAACTGGACTAACTTTCAGCTGTGCTGAAAGTCGCCAGTTAAAGACTTCGGCTGTTTGCAGGATCGCATTGGATTTCCTTTTGGACTTTGCGTTTTTCATTCAAGTCGCGGTGGCCCAGCAGCGCGTGACGACGTCACGGGTCACGACCACACGTTTAAGTTTTAAACCGATATGATATGAAAACGCAAATACCAAGAAAACCCAAGGATCTGCACAAATAAAACAACTACACTGTAACCCCAAAACAAAACATTCATTAAAATTACGTTAGCAAAAAAAAATGTCCCTAATACCTATATCACAGTTTTATCACAGTTTTTGGTTTAACCTTTCGTGCTTATTGCACGGACGACCTGGGATGCGAATCCTTCGATTTTCTTCGAAGAGGATGTCACCGCCAAATCACAGCTAATCCCTGTGAACTGTGCCTCAAGAGCAATTGTCCTACCTCTAGTAGACACGCCTCCCTTTCTTCCTACAAAATTTAAACAACTTTTCTCTACCAGTGCGCATCCACGGTGCAATTGCATGTGTGTCATGCAAGCCACCGTTCGAGGGCTGGCTGGAGATATAAATATGCGAGACGCAAGGGTATCTGCCACGACGTTCTCGCTTCCTTTCCTGTGTTCGATGTTGAAGTCATATCCCTGGAGTTGCAATGACCACCGAGTGCCGCTTAAAGTCCGCATGTACCAGCACTGGCGCAGTAGTTCGGGCCATCTTCAAGGACTCTACTGCCAGCTGTGCTTCTGGACTCAAGGAAAACTTCTTATTTCCCGTCTTCTTCAAGGATTGCGTGAGCGGGGCTGCCAACGGCGCGAAGTTCTTTATGAACCGACGGTACCAACTAAGGCTCTCACTTCCTTCATGGTCCTTGGCTCAGGCATCCGCCTAATAGCTGCTACACGCCCTGGATCCATCCGCAGACGTCCTCCAACCACTATGAAGCCGAGGTAGGTCAAAGACTTGAAGCAAAACTTCGACTTGCTCAGACCAATGGTTAACCCTGCTTCTTTCAGGCATTCAGCGACTCGGCGAAGATACTTCAAGTGCGTTCTCATGTCAGGCGCTAGTATTAGCAGGTCATCCAAGTAGACGAACACATTCGAGCGGATTTCAGCTGGAATTACTCGGTCCATGAGTCTCACCAGCGTTACAGAGTCCGAAAGGCATCACACGGAACTGGTAAAGAGGCCGACCAGGAACCGTAAAGGCTGTGTATTCCTTGTTGCCCGTGTCCAACTCAATTCTGGACAGAATGCCGTCTATGCTGTGCAACGGGTAAGCATCTTTGATGGTTACATCATTAAGCTTAAGTGCGTCTAAGCAGAACCGGTGTTTTCCAGATCTTGATACTACGGTGGTGCGGTTGCTCCAGGGGCTTTTGCTCTCCTCGATGACTCCGAGCGCTAGCATCTTGTCGACCTCGTCCTCGACCACCTTCTGCTTCGCGCGAGACATCGTATAGGGTCGATCCTTGAACACATCATCCATCACCTCAATAGTGTGCTTCTCCAGACTGGTGGTACCTAAGCCATCCCTCTCGAAAGTCAAGAACTGCTGCTTGATCTCCTCCAGCTCTCGTGCCTCGGCCTTTGAAAGCGTCCAGGACTCGGGATCGGTTTTCTCCTCATCGTCATCCTCGACCTCAGCGTAGTGCTCCATCTCCCTGGCGTGTAATTCTTCGGCCTTCTTCACGCCTTCCGGATCGATGGGGCCTATAATCGCTGGGGCCAGTCCGAATGCTTGCCAAAAATCCACTCCAAAATAAGCTGGCTGCTCCAGGTAAGGACACAAGTAGAAGAGAATGTGCTCTGTCCGTCCTCGGTATTCCACCGGTAACTTGACCCGTCCTATAATTGACCGATCCTCTCCAGAGGCCGTACGGACTGCGGATAAGTACTTCTGGACGGGCACATCCAAGGCCTCGACCAGCTCTCTGCCACCTTTTTCAAGCAGACTCACACTCGCTCCAGTGTCCAACAACCCCGTCAGTTGCTTGGTCAGGACTCGGACTGCGGCGAACGGTCTGGGATCTCGCGATAAACTGCATTTCACGGCAGCCACTGCTTCGCGTCGGCAGTTCCGACGTTTGCGAAATCGGTCCCTGGCCTTTTGCACCTTGCGAGACACCATACGCATCCCGCCTAACTGGTGCTCTGAGAAGATCCTGTTCCTGATATCTAGGTACCGTTGCATCCTCTCCGCATAAGGTAAGTATTGTAAATTAGACTTATTGCTATTCTTAGAAGGTAAACATTTATTTAACTCTACCAACTCTTCTTCTCTGCGGAACTCCTGTCTGGACGCATCCTCTCCGTCCTCGGATCGCCCAGCCGACCGTTTTCCGCACAATCCGGACATTTAGGAGACACGGTGTCGGGCTTCCCACATCGGTAGCAGAACAGTCTGCGTTCTGTTGCTGCGCAGTCACGGAACCCGTGATCCACGGCTCCGCAATTCCAGCAGCCGGCTCGGCACGGATTCTTCGCCCGCACTTCGTCCACCTCGTGCCACGGAGGATCCTCACCAGGATCTGGGCCAATAGCCTCGCTAACCTTGGCCTTCTCCGCCGGAGGATACCGCATCGGCTGCGTGTACGTGGTCCGTCCACGTCGTCCAAAACTGCGTTCTACCTCGCAGCACTCTTCCCGCAGTTCATCCACCGTAAGCACATCCATCGCGTAGACAAACCTTGCGATGCTCTCCCTCAAGCCCTTTTTGATTATCTTAACCAACTGTCGCTCTGACAGTCGCCTTTTCAGACGGGCCGCTAACTGCTTCATCGCGTGGACGTAATCGTCAACTCCTTCTCCGAGCTGCTGCTCCTCTGCAGAAGTTGGTGCATCCGGTCGTGCTCCGTCTGGTGGCATCGGAACCTATCCATCAGCGAGGCTCGAAGCTGGGACCACCTGTCCACCCTGCAGTGACGCACGTGCACCCAGTACCACTCCCGAGCCCGCCCAGTAAGCAGCAGGTGGAAGTTTCGGAGCACCTCTTGCCACGGGCATTGGCACTGCCGCTGCAGGAACTCCAACCTGAAGAGAAAATCTTCCACCGAGTTTCGCTCATCCTCCCTGTCGAAGGATACGCCCTACCGCTCAATTCGCCATTGCTGGTTGGCGGCTGCCGGCCCCACATTGACATACAGGAGCTGCTCCTCGCGGAACCCTGAG